TGTGGACCTTGATCTAGCTGAATTTGGTTATTAAGTATAGAAGATTTTTGGTGGAGTTCTTGGGGTCTTCTATATAGCGTATCATATGGGATCTTTCAGCCTCTGATTGAAGCTTAGTTTGGAAGGAACTTTTATCTTTCTGGGAAATGTAAACAATCCATACACTCATATGTGTCCTATTGAAAATAATTTTTTTTCTTGCAACTCGGACTTTTTCCTATGTGGCACTAATTCCTACTTGTGTCTTCTAGAAAACTGGGCAGGAACATGCACTCTTGTTTAACTGGACCTGGAAACCACTATAGCACATAATAACTAATCCCTTCCAGTTCCATTCACCATTCTGATTTCCTTCATTAATGCTTCTCACAATTTTACTATTAGGACATGCATACTTAATCTCAGTCAAGTTAGTTTATTCTCACTTAAGTCATAAAACTACAGATGATGACAGGGGCCAAGAAATAAAGCCTTCCTTTGATAGAGAAAAGTTTTAGACAGCTTGGTAGATTAAATATTAAAGTAATTGTAGAAGCAAAATAGGTAATGAATCACTTGAAGATTTGTTTTTCCCTATCGCTCTTGTTATTTAAGTTGATGGTTATCTGACATTTTGACCTGTAGCTTTACTATACATAACATTTTAATTTTGAAAAACAAAGGTTTAGTGCTTGGGCAAATTTGTGTTATATGAGTTTTAACTGTCATGTGTTTATGGCTGTAACCATTAACAGAAACCACATGTGGTTAACCATTAAACAGGAACTGGAATTTTTATTTTACTCAACAAAGACCACTAGGGATGAGATAATGACCAAAAAGGGTATAAAATGGGAAGCAGAGCAAACATCGGTGTGGATACTGACCAGACCAGTTTCTGGTAGTCCTGCCTGCTTGCAAGTAAACTTTTATTATTTTACCCAAATTCCTTCTCTCTGTGTATTTCTTGCTACAATTTCTGGAACATTTGGTTCCCTGACCATGAAATCATGAATGAAATAGCCCTTTTGGGCAATGGCATGAGCCTGACCAGAGGAAGCAGTTCTCTGTCTCCTCAAAAGGAAAGGCACACCCCTGTGACTAATTTCCTAGGCTCCCTAACAAGACATGGAGACCCACTCACCACTTGTAGATCACCTGAACCTGAGATGTAGGGTGACAGAGGAGGGCTGCTGCTGTTGATGTCTCATCTCTTTCCTTTGCTGGATGAGAAACTCCCAGGAAAACCCCGTAGTCATTAACTTTTGGTTTTGTTTTGGTTTCACTTTGTGATTTTATATTTTGCAACTTTGGGCAAATACAGTGCAGGGGCTTGATGTGCTTTGCCATTTGATGAGGTAACTCCTTTCATTTGTTTTGGTTATGGTTAGGGGACACTGGGAGGGAATGTGATAAATTCTGAATGAATGTGTGGGTGAAAGAGTTCTGGGTAGGAGAATGAGTGGAATGAGCTGCGAAAACTTATAGGCAGTCTTGTCTGTGGTATGAAGACAGAGGAAGGAGGCCTTTGCACTTAAAGAGTCCTCCCCAAGTCATGGAACCTGTGTGTGGTCTATCCTGTGGTTCTGTGGTTATGTTTAACAAAGGGACGATGGTGAGCTTGAGCAACAGCCCACCTTAACCTGAATGGACCTTAAAGTGGCCAAGAGGCTCATAGCCAGGCAGGCAAGCAAGTGATCAATTCTTGTTTGCAGTTCCCACCTTTGTTTGTCCCATATCACCGTACAAGGGTTGCAATTATTATCTGTGTTCATGGGAAGCACAAATGCTAGACCTACTCTATTACATTGTGTGATTCAAAATTTTGATAAAGAATTTGTGGGAGATTATGGGGTGAAACTATGACCAAAAATCCTAAGAAAATTTTGTGAGTTGTCATGGCCACAAATAGTACCTGAATAGCCATTGGATGGAAGTATAGATATAGAAAAAGAAAGACAAGTATGGAATAAGGTTACCAAACAAAGCCAAGTAAATTAATTCCTGTATGTTGACACTTGGCTGGATCTATGTATAAGGCCACCGCCTCCCTGGCTTCAAGTCTGTGACTTAGGGAATAAGTCTACTTTTCTTGTGCTAAAAACCAAAGGAGAGGAACCAGGTCAGGAAGATATGCTAGATTCTCCACCTCCCTACAGAGGGAGAGCAGCTGGAGCCAGCACCAAAATGCCACCAGAACTGAAGGAATCTGGTCCCCAACCCACTGGGGCAGAACCATCTGCCCCAATAGCTCATAGAACTACATCAGCTGATCCAGCACCGATTTTCAGATGTCATTGGGAGAGTACCCTGCTGAGGGAGGCAATGTCATCTTACATCAACCATTTAGCTCCTCTGACTTGATTAATTGGAAAAGAAGTACTCCTTCTTTTACTGAAGACCCCTCCAAAATGTTTCAATTATTTGTTCCCAAATTTGCTATTCATCATCTTGACTGCAAAATCTTTGTCAAACTTTGTTAACCTCTGAAGAAATGCAGAGAGTTTTAAGAGAAATTATAAAGATCAATGCTTGCTCCTAGAATGCTGGCAGGCACATAAAATCTGGAGGCTTGGCATGAACAGCAATTTCCAGTGAATGAGTGGCCCAATTGGAACCCCAACAACCCAGAAGGCCAGGACAGGTTAACCAATTTTTGGACAGCCCTCCTGGCAGGGATGTGAACTGTGAGTAAAAAATCCTACAAACATGATTACAGTGCTAGAAACACACCAGGACACTAATGAGAGCCCTGAGAGATTTTATGAGCAGCTCTGAGAAGCTTACAGAATATACACACCTTTTAATCCTGCTGTTCCTGATAACCATAAGTTAATCAATATGACTTTTGTGACCCTGTCAGCACCAGATATTAGAAGGAAAATTCAAAAGCAAGAAATTTGGGAGGTTATGAATATCACCCAATTGTTGTAATTAGTTAAGAAATTGTATGTGAACAGAGAGTCAGTGTGACAGAAGGAATGAGTTAAAAGGGAAGATGAGTGACATAAGAGGTGGGCCAAATACATAGCAGTGGCTATGGGAGTCAAGGTAGAAAAAGATGAAAGACAGGGAATGAAATCAGAAGGAAAGCACAAGAAAGGCTTTAAACTTGAGGACTTAGATTTTGAACAGTGTGCGTATTGCAGAGGAAAATAGCATTATAAGAACAAGTGAACAAAGCTCAAAGAAAAAAAAAGCAGGAATTAAGGGAAAGAAAAGATACTGGTATGCTCTTGCATGTGATGGAAGATAGTGATGGACACAGACCAGGCTTGATGCAGTTAGGCCCCCATGAGCTCATGGTCAATATAATGATTGGGCATCAAAGTATGTCCTCTATGGTAGACAGTGGACCAGAGCACTCAGTAGTTACTGCTCTAATCTCCCCTTTGAGTGAAAAGTGCATCCAAGTGATCAGTGCCACTGGAATCTCAGAAAAGTACCAATTTTGTTATGAAAGGAAATGTGAAATCAGAGAACATAAAATAAAACATGAATTTTTATATATTCCAGAGTGTCCTATCACCTTATTAGGGAGAGACTTGTTATCTAAATTGGGAGCCACAATAACTTTTACTCAATGGGGAAATATGTCTCTACATTTAGACCCAGGAAAGGATCTCATTATGATGGTAACTACCAAAAGAGAAGATTAATGGCAATGTTACAATGCAGATGATGTCCACTAGGCTCCTCAACAATTAAAAACAATGTTTCCTGGAGTATGGGCAGAAGATTCACCCCTGGGCCTGGCAAAGAACCATCCACCCATAGTTATAGGATTAAAAGACAATTCTGGCCCCACTGCTGTAAAACAATATCTGATGTCCAGGCAAACCAGAATTGGAATTAAACCCCATATCATGAGACTGAAGGAATTTAGACTTATAAGAGAATGTAAATCACCTTGGAACACCCCCTTGCTACCAGTTAAGAAACATGATGGGGACTATAGGCCAGTAGAAGATCTTCGGGCTGTAAATGACAGAACAATAACATTACATTTGGTAGTCCCTAACCCTTATAATTTTCTGGGTCTAATGCCCCTGGAGGCAACATGATTTACTTGTCTGGACTTAAAGGATACCTTCTTTTGCCTTTGCATCACCCCCCTTAGTCAAACAATATTTTCATTTGAATGGGAGGACTCAAATGGTAGAACAAAGACTCAGTTTACATGGACCAGAATCCCACAAGGATTTAAAAATTTGCCCATACTTTTTAGGGACGTTCTTGCCAAGGATTTGCTTGTCTTCCCTTCAGAACAATATAATTGTGTTTTACTACATTATGTAGATGATTCACTGTTATGCAGCCTGACCCAAAAACAATGCTGGGAAGGCACAAAAGGATTGTTACACTTACAGGAAACAGGATATAAAATATCATGGAAGAAAGCTCAGATTTGTGTACAATATATTAAATATTTAGGATTAAAAATAACACAGGGTGTGTGTTATCTAGGAAATGAAAGAAAACTGGTTATTAGTGCCATTCCTTAACCCCAAACAAAGAAACAACTGGGGGAGTTTCTTGGGGTCACAGGCTTCTGTAGAATTTGGATTCCTGATTTTGCAGAGATCACTAATCTTCTTTATGAAGCCCTAAAAGGAAAAGGAGAAAATTATCTACTTTGGACTATGGAACAACAGACACCTTTGAAGAAACTAAAACTGACTTTACAAGCTGCCCCTGCTTTAGGGATACCAGATTTAATGTGGCCTTTTGTTCTACATGTGACTGAGAAAAATCATGTGGCCCTTGGATTATTGACACAAGAAGTAGGCCCATGGAACCAACCAGTGGCATATCTGTCTAAAAATTTATATCCTGTAGCAAAAGTGTGGCCTCCTTGTCTTTGGACCTTAGCACCTTCAGTTTTATTAATCCAATAAGCAGACAAGCTAACTCTTGGTCAGTAACTGACTGTGCACTTGAATACAAGAGGGCATTGATGGCTCTCAAATAATAGAGTTACCCAGTACGAAGCCCTTCAATGTGAGAACTCCCATTTATAGTTTACCCCTGTAAAAGCTTTAAATCTTACTACCTTCTTCTCTACGGAGACAGGCCCTCCTGGTCATGACTGTTTAAGTGTCATGGATGAACTCTTTTCTAGCCACCCTGACCTACAAATGACACGTTTGTCCAGTGCTGACCTCGTTCTGTTCACAGATGGGAGCAGCTTGGTGGAAAATGGGGTTTGTCATGCTGGATATGTAATAACTGCAAAGTACGAGGTGCTCCTAGCTGGGGCTCTTCCTATCGGCTGGTTAGCAAAACATGCTGAGCTCTGGGTGCTCATACAGGCACTAAGATGGGCAAAGGCTAAGAAGGTGAACATATACACAGACTCTCGCTATCCGTTTGCTACATTGCACATCCATGGCATGATTTATTGAGAATGAGGTCTTCTCACAGAAGAAGGGAAACAAGTCAATAGACAGGAACTTATACAGCTAGAGCCAATGTGGGAACCTAGCAAGATCATAGTAATACATTGTTCAGGACATCAGAAAGGCAAAGACTTCATTGCACAAGGCAACAATAAAGGAGACATGGAACGCAAGAAGGCTGCCAAGGAAGAACTTCAAATGGATGTGCTGACATGGACACAAGGGGCATGACAAAGTTCCTAAAAGCAGCAGATTCCTATAAGGTATTCAGATGAAGAAAATATCTGGGCTAAAGAACAGCTTATATAGAAACATGTAGACATTTGGGTACTTCCAAAAGGGGGACTAGTTATTCCTGAAACCTCATCCTATTACTGAGTAAAGTGATATCATGAGTTAACACATGGAGGCAAGACTGCATTTCAAAAGCTACTAGAGAGATATTTTTTATATACCCTGTGTGGGTGCTCTATGTGAGCAGGTATCTCAGAGATGTCAGACCTTTTGAAAGATAAATCCTACAACAGTACCAAAGCTGCTCCCAGGGATCCAAGAACCAGTACTAGTCCCTTTGAGGACATAAAGTAGATTTTAGAGAGTTGCCACCCTGTAGAGGCTTTATTAGCTTGGATTTATACATACTCTGGATGGCCTGAAGCCTTCCCTACTTGAACAGAAAAAGCCTCAGAAGTGTGTAAGTATTGTTAAGGGAGATTATTCCTAGCTTTGGCCTCCCATTTTCTATGGGAAGTGACAATGGACCAGCCTTTGTAGCAAATACTTTGCAAACTTTAGTTAAAATGCTACATATCAAATGGTATCTACATACTGCATACAGGCCACAAAGTTCTGGGAAAGTAGGAAGAATGAATAGAACTATCAAAAGTTCATTAACAAAGTATTGCTTAACTACAGAGAGACCATGGATAGATCTATTCCCTCCCTATGGCCTTATTAAAAATAAGAAACACTCCAGGCCATACTGGATTCACCCCTTATGAAATATTGTTTGGAAAATCCCCTTGTATACTTAGGGACTTTACAGGCAACCTCACGCAATTAGGAAACTCCACTATGGAATTGCAAATGCTAGAATAAGGCAAAGCATTTAACAATATACAAGGTCAGTTAAGAATAAGGGAGAACTTACCTACTATTACTCCTGAAAACTTGATTAAGCCCATTGATTTAATCTATGTTAAGAACTAGAAAAAAGACACCCCTAGAACCTACATGGGAAGGAATGTATGTTACGCTTGTGGTTACTCCACAGCTGTTAAAGTTTCCAAGATCCAACCATGGATTCACCACTCCTGAGTGAAGAAATCCCACACTGAGCCTGACGCTGAAAACCAAGAAAGACAACACACTCAAAGCCCTGCTCTCATCACTCTGGATCCTGGTGAGTCAATGCATGGCTGAAGAATGGGAGCACTGACAAAGATGACATGGGTTATTGTGCTATGCAAGATCACCACTACTCTAAGTTTATTTGTTTTCAAACTGCGAGTGTTTAAGCCTAGTGATGAAAACGTTGATCAACAATATGTCACTTTTAAAATAGTAAAATGAGAACTGGAAGGCTATCAGTTTACAATGTTCTTTGATGCCTGCCCAAAAGAACATTATAGAGCCCTGGGGTAGCTTCTGACTGTGGGGGCTATTCTAATGAGAAATTATACTGCAAAGAGAAAACAAAAGTTTGGGTCAATGGCTTCCTTGTAGGATGAGCCACTGGCAATTGTGACAATTGTGAACAAGGTCAATATAATCCTATATCTGTGTATATGCCTGCCAGCCTGATGGGACCCTATTTGGCTACAAGGAGTAATGTATCAAATTCATATGATATCTATCCACCACTAGGCATGGACCCTAAAAGATAAAACAATGGAGATTACAAATTTAAAAATATGGAAGGGCTGGGGATTTAGCTCAGTGCATTTGCTGCCTGCTGCACAAGCACAAGGACCTGAGTTCAATACCCAGTACCAAAAAAAATATGGAAAACTGTTCCTCCTGAAATAGGAAAAAACCCTGGTCTCCAAGAAATTCAAACTATATTGAAGGGGCACCCCCAAAATTATGCTCCATGGATATGATGGATTTAATTAATAGCACCCATACACTACTCATGCAGGTGGATGAAAAAACTTGGCATCGGACTGTTGGTTATATGTCTGCCTCTTTAAATTTGATGACTTATGAGGTCATCGGAATTTATACCAATCTAACCCTCAATACCACCAAAGAGGCTATGCATTCACTTCTGAAATACCCCTCCAGGGTTATTGGAAAAGATACATGGTTCCTTGGGGAGAAAAGGGACAATGGGATAAACAACACTTGTACAAATATAAACTTGTTAAAGGCAGAAAACAATTATTTAGCACCTAATGGGACCTTTATCATTTGTGGAGATGGAGCATATAAAGTGAACTACCACAATGTGTGCTTTGGGAATTTTAATCCCAAATTTATCTATTTACAGCCCAACAGCCATGAAGAGGGTATCCTTACAAATTATCTCTCCGATGCATGTAATTTGAACAAAAAGTAACCCAGTAGTGATGCCCATCCTAGCTGTCCTAGCAATCACAGGGAGTCTCACTCTAGGAGTGACTGCCATTGGCTTAGGACAAAAGTAATATATTTCATTAGGACAAGAAATTAGAAAAGATCTTGAGGAAATTTGAGATGCATTTCAGGCTTTAGAAACCCAACTAGATTCACCAATGTCATATTACAGAATAGGCACGCTCTCAATTTGCTAACAGCCCAGAAAGGAGAAACTTGCTTATTTCTCTGTGAAGAGTGTTGTTATTACACTAATAAATCTGGTGTAATACAAGAATTTCTAGACAAACTGAAAGATTGGATCAAAGCTCTTGATAATGAACTTGGTACAGCAGAGAGCCTATTGAATTAATTTTGGTTTGGCAGGATGGAAAACTTGGATAGGACCACTTCTGAGTCTCCTTATTATAATATTAATATTAATGTTTGGTCTTTGTGTCATTCAAAGGATTTCAAAATTTATACAGCAGCACACTGCTGCCTCTCAACACTACCAAATGCTAGTGCTAAGAAATGTAGATAAACTAGATAGACGATATAGTGGATAAAATAATTATCCTGAACTAAACAGAGGAAGGAATGATAGGGAAAAATTTTAGACAGGTTGGTAGATTAAATATTAAAGTAATTGTAGAAGCAAAATAGGTAACGTATCCCTTTAAGATTTGCTTTTCTCCATCAATCTTGTTGTTTAAGGTGATGGTTATCTGACTCTTTGATCTGTAGCTTTACTATAGGTAACATCTTAACTCTGAAAAACAAAGTTGCAATGCTTGGGCAAATTTGTATTATATGTGTTTTAACTGTCATGTGTTTATGGCTGTAACAATTAACAGAAACCACATGTGCTTAACCATTAACCAGGAACTGGAATTTTTATTTTACTCAACAAAGACCACTAGGGATGAGACAATGACCAAAAAAGGTTTAAAATGGGAAGCAGAACAAATGGTGTGGACACTGACCAGACCAGTTTCTGGTACTCCTACCTGCTTACAAGTAAACTTTTATCATTTTACACAAATTTTGTGTCTCCAGGTATTTCTTTCCATGATTTATGGAACACCTTCACACCTAATACTCATTAGTAAATCCTCAGAGGAGGAATATATCCCCTGTGACCCCTGAGATAAGGCATGGTGAGAGCTCTGTGGCCTCCACATAGGTGAGGTAAGCCAATGCCCCTGCACAGCAGGAATCAGCTACAGAAGAGAGAGATGTTCCACTCTCAGTATGCCCTGAAGCCCTAAAGACTTTTGGCCACCAGGTCTCTCAGGAAGGAAGAACATCAACAGTGCACAAGGCCCCAAGTTTCAGTTAAAGCACTGAAACAAGGATGGAGTGCATCTTGGTGGGAGACCAGGTGCTTAACACCCACAATGCCCTGGGCTCAACCACCCACAGCACAGTAGAGCAAGTGTTAGCCACAATTACAGCACATAATATTGTATACAATATTAATTAGTATGTAATTAACATACAACATGGAAACACTGCTCTCTAGAGTTTTTCAAATATGAAATATTTTCGCATCTGATCATATGTAATATTATGTCTCATCCTAAAATATAAAATAGTTTCACTTTTGATTATATATATATGTGTGTGTGTGTGTGTGTGTGTGTGTGTGTGTGTGTGTGTCTATACCTCGAAAACATAGACATTAAATCATGTCACATTCTCAAAACAACCATGTGAGGCCCCAAGGAGATGGGAGCTATTTAGGAAGTGATGACAGGAACCCCAGGAGGAGTCTGTGTGGAGCACTGCCTGACCTGGGTTGGCCTCCACAGCTACTTTCTTCCTGTTCTCAGGGCCCTGTGGGACCAGCTGTGTCCCAGACCTGAGGTGTCAGAGTCTGTGTTCACCAACTGTCACTGTCTGAGGGGCCAGGATGAGGCAGCAGGGCAGAGGGACTGGGTTGGACCTCTGGGTTAGGTTACTAAATAAGAACTGCATGCTGGAGGCCATGGGCTGGATACAAGCCAGCATTTTCCCTTGAGGTTGTCTACTCACAAAGGACTCTGCTGGGCTCTGTCTGTGAGTTAGTAACTTTGGCAACAATATTTCCCAGTAATTGGGATACAAAGCATGCTTCTTTGTTCTGGTGGACACCCTTTTCAGCATGTTTCCTGAGGTGGCTTGGTTTCTCCACATGCTGTAACTCGCCAAGCACCTGCCATTCCAGTGAGACATTTTATCAAGACTGCAGCATGAGCAAAGGGTCTCTAGCAGAAATGGAAGATCTGACAACAGCTGTATGTTATTTACTATGCAGCATCCTAGAACCTAGATGCCCGTGGGTTAAGCCTCCACTCTGGATGCCCCAGAGGCTTGTTGGTGATAATGGTGACACAATTAAAATCTTGGCATTAAATAAAGTCAGTTATAAGCACTCCTCTTCAGCTGGGCCCTCAGGAGGGGGAGAA